CTTATGAAAACATAGAAAACTAAGGGTTAAATATAATTAGATAATTAGCTTTTCAAGTCAAAATATTTGTCAAATAGGTCATTCATAGTAGTTGATCCATGTTGGAATGTATGAGACCACAATAATCCTCGTCTAGGGTCAACAAAGAAGAGACGAAGAAGGAGAAAGAGGGGCTAGGGTTGGGTTGAAGTTATGTTGACTTTTGTGCAAAGGGTAAGTAAAATCATTAAGGTTTCATTCGAAAAGTGCTTTAAAAAGCAACTAAAAAAAGTCCCAAACTAAACCTAAATATAAAATTATCCAAGTATTTGAATTAGTAAAAGAATTAGTGCTTAAATAAGTACTTATAACACTACAAAATAATTTTGGAATGTAGCTATAGCTTAGTAATAATTGATTGAAAGAAGGGTTGAGTGAGATGGAGGCCGAATACCTAAGAATGCAGCTATTGAAGAAGACATCTAATAATGCAAGCAGTAGGACAAAATTTCTACAAAGAATTTCCTGGTGGAGTTTCTTAAAAGAAAAAATTCAGCTCTTTATTGTTTTTTTTTTGTTAAGTTTTGTGTTTCTTTGCATATAAATCTCTATCAATAGTTAATTTAGAAATTAGGGGAGAGGGCCATTTCAACAAAATTTTATTAGAAATTTCTTGCAGGTTTTGTGTTTCAAGAAGTGAAGGGGAGTTTGAGCTCAATTCTATAAATTTCAGCTTTCTATGCTGTCAATTTTGATATGTTTTTCATAAAATTCAGCTAAAATTATATAATTAGGCTGTGTGGCAATAAATATGTTGTATCTGTGATTTATACTAAAAGTTCTTTTGGGATGAATGTAGCATTTTGTAAAGGTAGATATAAAATTATTATAGGGAAAATAATTTTTTTGAAAGCTGCTTTAAAAATTAGCTTCCTAGAATAGAAATTTCGTGAAAGCAGCAAAAAAATAATTGTCAAATAGAAATTATGATTGTTATCTGAAAAGCAAAGCAGTAAGAACAGTTCTAAGAGAAAGCCTAATTCGAGTCAATTAATGGTTTGAAACTACCATTATCAATTCTCAAAAGGATTGAGATATTTATTATTTGCGATGAATAGATTGATAGCAAATCGGCCACGATTTGTGAGGAGACTATTCACAGAAGTCTCAATTTCATTTTCGGTGTGCTTCAAGACTATATATGATTGTAAAACATATTTGCTGGTAGAGGGCATCTGTCATCGAGAGGGCGTCTGTCATCGATGTTGATAAGACGTTAGTCGTTAATATATGTTAAGATGACGATGGACAAATATGAGCTGTCAAGTTGTGGGTATGGAAATTGCTAGCGTCGAACATCAATGTCAAGACAATGTCAGATTTTGATGTTGAGATGGATTTGAAATGTCGATATATGTTGTAACGATGTCAGACGTTGATTTTGTAACGACATTGGGCATTGTTTTGAAAACAAAGTCGTGACCCACCAATGAAAAATGAAAATGATAATATTCGATGAGTGAGTTTTGAGTGTGAGCGATTGATTTAGTGATGTGGATAGTAAATAAGGAATTTAGTTTTTATATTTTAAATAAATAAAAATTATAAATACAAGAAATTATATTTTAAAAAATTTCTTAAAATATTTAAGACGTGTGTAGGACACTTGTGTCCAATTTATATTTAATATTTTTTAATCCGACACATTTTTTTCGTGTCTGACACATGTTAGACGTGTGTTACACGAGTGTCGTGTCGAATATGTGTCGGAAATTGCACGACTCTTTGAGTAGAAGTATCGGTGCATCATTGTTGTTATGTGTTAGAAAATTTGCGGTGATAGCTAGAGTTGAAGTTTGTTGTTTTAGCTTTTTGACAAAAAATCCAATGGGGACATAAACGATTATATGAGATTATAAATTTTTATGTGAAAAATAAATAAAAACTTGGGGGCTTGGCCCAGCTATAACAGTCAACTATTGAACTGGAGATATAAAAATCCTCCAATATTCTTTAGAAGAAGCTGAGATTATCTCAGAAAAAAAAAATATTTGATTTCTCTTATAAGAATGACAGAAATTTGGTATTCAAGGATGGACAATTAAAACCTAATAATATGATTAAATTTTGAAAGGAGTCTTAAGACTGTGGCACAATCAATTAAACACCATCTAATTAAGATCACACAAGTACTAAATCTTAACCACCATCAGATTTTTAATGGCTAAATCATTACGAATTTACGATAATTCACTTAGGACTACTATTTTTTTGAGGAAAAAAAAAAAAAAAAAAAAAAAGAGAGAAGAGCCTCCTTTGCAAGGCGCCGCCGCTGAGCCAACGATAGAGATAGGCGAGCGCTTCAGCCAAGCAATGAAGAGATTATTAGGTGCGGAATGTGGACGGAGAGAACCGTCCACACAAGTATTGGGTACCTAGTTGTACCCGCACTCGGTACCGCTGGGTACTGCTAGATACCCAGTGCTTGTGCGGACAATGCGCACTCCGTGCCTAATAATTTTTCCAAGCAATGACATCATATAAAATGATTGCAAGATGGCTGTTGATATACATATATATAATATCCGTTGCCACCTTTAATTAAAAAATTCAACAACAACAACATCAAATTTTTAATTAAAACATTAATATATTAAAATTTAATATTACTCTTATGCTGCATTTGAGATAATTATTTTTATTAATTTTTAAAGTAAATTTTTTAATAAAATATTACCTTAGAAAGCACTAAGAAAGCTATGAAACCTTAAGCTTTATTTGAGATAGTTTTTTGCTACTGCCTTTTTATTATTTTTTAAAAAAATTTTGTTGAAAAAATATTTTAGAAAGCAATAAAAAAATTGTTTAAAAAAACTACTTTCTATAATAATTTTTCATTATACTTTTTTATATATATATATATATATAGATTATTTTTGGCTTTATACACTAAGGGATGTAATTTTAAGTAATTATCTCATTGTTACGTGCTTTGATTGAGCCCTACTATCGTAACAACAAAGTAAAGCCAGTAGAATAATTTCAACTAGACTTAGCCTTATACATCGTTTTCTTTTTCTAAATTTTTGGTGTAAAAAAATATTTTGACATTTACATTGCTTTATTCTCTATAAGAGCTGAAATTTAAATTTAAGATTTTGCTTGGGACGATTTTCTTACTGCTTCTTAAAGCAGCTTTATAATAAAAAAAAGTACTAAAAAGCTGCTTTAAGATGCAGTAAGAAAGTCATTCCAAACAAAGCCTAAGACTTCATTTGAGACAACTTTCTTACTGTTTTTTAAAATTATTTTATGAAACAGTAAAAAGCTACCCCAAACGAAATCTAAGGCTTCGTTTATGACAGTTTTTTTGCAGCTTCTAAAACAACTTTCTAATAAAAAAGAATATAATTTTCTATTAAAATGCTGCTTCCAGGAGCAGTAAAAAAGTCGTCCAAAACGAAACCTAAATCTCCATTTTCACAAAATTTCAGCACACAATAGTGCTAATAATGTTAAAAAAGGGTATTGAATTACTATTTGAAGAGGCCATCATCCTCTTTTTATTGTGTGAAGCAAGCCTCCATTTCTAAAGCAAGGTTCCCATTATGCCAAGCAATGTCATTTAATCAATTCAATAATATTTATATTTATAGATTCTACCTTTTATCATAATTTTTTGCTCCTCTCTTTGTCACCTACCACCCACCCCCTCTCCCTCCAATGCCATCCTTTACTTCTCCAAATTGCATATTGGTCCATGTAAAATCCTTTATTTACATCCCTCACCTTCATACATTTGGCACATCACTTGGTTGAGTGCAAAAGTCTTTTTCCAAATTACAAATAATGTCTATTTAGTATTTACCATAAATTATTCCCAACAAAAGAAAACTCTAACTAATTAAAGCATAGAAACTTTGCTACTATATATAGAGTTAATGGTCCAAAATAATTTTTTTTGAGTTATTTTTGTTATATTAAGCTATTATTTCAATATTAAATATTTTTATGAATATTTAATGCATTTGTTTTTAAAATATTGTTAATATTGACATAAATAAATAGATTTTATTATGACTAATTATGTTGTTTAGTCAATAAGTTTATCATTAGTAGTGTTAAAAAATGACCCGTTTCTTGAATCAGATTGGAAAAAATTGGATTTGAGTTGACACTTTTAATTAACGTATAGAGTTCAAGCTGATCCTTGAATTCACCTTTGATTTGAAAGTGACTAATTAATATTTTTTTCTTAAACTTTTTTTGTTTATTAATTTGATCTTCTTATTTTTAATCAATTAACCTATGCTTTATAGTGATAATTTTTTTTTTAAAAAAATTCAAATCAAGACGTGCTATTGGGTCGGATTCAAGTCATTTGAGTTGCCAAATAAATAAATTGGACTTTGGAGTCCATCTTGAACCATTTAGTACATGGCTCGTGTTTGCATTGATTGAATTCTCCTTGGGTCAATTTCAGGTCGAATTCAAACATAACTTTTTAACTCATTTTAACGAGAAATTATTTAGTGTGGAGTCCGAACGAGAAAAATCGTCCGGACTGTAAGTATACACACTGTGTGTACATGTTTTGGACTTTGGAATATGTAAATATTGTGTATACTCACAGTCCGAACTATTTTTCTCATCCGAACTCCGCACATAATAATGACACCCTATTTATCATACTAATTATTTATGGTTAGATTTATAATTTAATAAAAAACAATTATTAACATTCTTATATTTTATACTAAATACTTTTCTAAATACTTAGAAAATTGCATGAAAAACACAATGAAAAAGATGTACAGCTTTAAGGCATCGTGTGTACATGGAAAAGATTTATACGGAGACCCGTGAATAAATATAGAATTTCTTAATGAACCTAAACGCTAGGTTCTAGTAGAACATATAATACTTTAAAGGGTAGATACGCAAAATATTTTTTTATGCTTTGCATTTTCTGTCATTTGTAGTTTTATGATTTTATGACGAAAAATCCACAATTAGATAAAGAGAGGGCCATCGCTCTACGTATATCTCCGCCATGGATTGATTCATGAAGAACCCCCTCCCCCCTTCTCCTCAATGAACCAGCTACCACGTCCAGATCCTTTTGAATCACGCTTACGCTAAAAATACCTTCTCAGCTTTCCGCCATTTGTTTTCCCTCCTTTTTTTCTTCCGTCTTATTCCCCTTCTTCGCTGTTCTTATCTGTCGGTCGGATTTGGGTTCATTTTTTGACCGGGAAAGGTCTAATTTGCACTGATGGGATGCGCCTGAGGCTGGTCGGGCATTAGTCCGTTTGAAGGCAACTGCTGCGTGCGTTGAGTGATGAGGAAGCGTGCTGAGCGGACACTGAAGGAGTTGTATGATCTCACGGAGAGGTTATTGCAACCGGAGGCATGTAAAGTTGTCGCCTTTGTTTCGTCTGGTTAGGGTTACGTCTCTTCTCCACGCCCGATTGGTTAAGTTTAGGCAATCCGTTTGTTTCCCTCCTTTTTTTTTGTCTTTCGTCGCCCTTTTCTGGAATCGTTTTGGTGTTACTGATGAACGGGGCTTGTTCTGCTGTGATTTAGAGAGAGGATCGGGGTGTTCTTCTTCTTCTTTTTTTATTTTTCTTATTTGTTTTCTTTCAATTTCTTCTTTTTTTTTTCCTGGTGGTTGAGAGTAAACGAGTTGATGCGATAAATTGAAGTCTGGAAGCAGGGATGTCATAGAGTGTGAGTAGGTAATTATTTTGAATTACAATTTGTCTTTGTGTAGGACAGTGGTGTAAATTCCTTTTTTTAAATGTTTTTATTTTTTTAAATTCTTTCGGTTGCTATTTTTGTCAACTAGTTCATCCGCAACAAAGCCAATAGCACTATTGAAACCCCCAAGCTCTGTAGCAGCCGCGTAGATTACTGTTTTCTTTTTCCTTTTATTTCTTTTTACTTTTTCTGATTTGGCTCTGGGATCGATTATTTTGATAACTAACACAAAACTGCTTAATTTGCATTTTCAGATCACACCTGTTCTGAAGGGTAGCTGTCGCATTCAAGGGCCTGTGGATGATTTGGACCTGAAGGATATGCAGGGGACTGATTCTGTAAGAGCTTAACTGTGATCAGAAAGATACCTTCTTGCAGATATTTTTATTCTAATAGTTTTTATTTCTTGAATGTCAAATGTTAGATAAATTGCATAGAAAAAATAATATTTTGTTACCTAAATAACATTATTGAAATCTTCGCTAAGTCTTGTATATATATATGATGTCAAACTTAAAAATATTAGCACAACCTTGTAAAGAAGAAATACAACCTATAATTGTGACACAAGTGGTAAATGGTATAGATTATATGATGAAGCAAATGAGCGATTATTCAAACTTATAACCTTAGTATGAATAGAACAACTCAACTATGCTAGTTAAGATACTCAAATCACTAACCCCTAAAGTCACACAAATAAATGTTCCACCCACAAAGAGATATGGTGATATAATAAAACTTAAGAGTATAACTTAAATGGTTTAACTACACTAGCAAGGAAGCATTCTATCATATGGGTTGCTATCTACTGTTTTTATTTTCCTTTTAGAGTTTGATGGTATCTTTCTATAATCATTATAGCTCAATCACCATATACAATTCAAGTATATGATAGTGCAAACATGAAATGTAAACTAATCTAACAAGTTTGACTTAAGAATTTTTATGTGGTTTGACTCCAAACCTCAGTTAATATCTACGCCTAAGCACTCCTTTGCTTTAGGATTCCATCAACTACCCATGGAAAAGAAGACCTACTTTTTCGGCGAAGTACTCTTCACACCCGATAGTACAAACTCAACACCTCTTCAAATCGGTGGGACAAACCCAAATCCCTAAATATAAGATTTAGATTACCTTTCTAAAATTCTCTTATTTTTTGTGGTGTATAAGGCTTGCATCAAAAAATAAATAAAATATACACAATTTGTAGAAGAAGTTGTATGATATACAATAAAAAATACTTTACAAAGCTATTAAGAGATTAAGGGATAAAGATCACCAAAAGGGTGATTTAAAGGATATTGATATTTGACGAGCGCTTCAATATTTATGATAAATCACCTCAAAATGATTTTATGATAAAGCTTTTAATACTTTTTTAAGCCTATAAAATTCTTATCTTAAGAGAAAGAAATTAAAAAAAAAAATCCAAAAATTAGCTCAAGATTTACCCGACATCTAATCAAATTAGTTAGTACTATGCCAAGTGGGCAACAATAAAAGCTATGATTGATCGCTATCAAAATATTTCAATATGATTTATATGGTGTTGTTAAGGGTAGTAACATGGAATTTAAATATTAAGAACTTTTAGTTTATTAATAATCAGTCTAACACCAAAATATATGAAATTATTTGTAAACAACTTAATGAATCCAATGGAATGAGAATTAAGCTCAAATTCTTTAAGTAGAATAGAGTCATATAAATAATCATTATTAATACATTAGCCTGATTAAGCAAATTTAATATAATAATTAAAGCATATGGACTTTTTTGAATGGTCGTGGGACTCATAAGTTAGGTAATCTTTATAGGGATCCTTAAGCACACGAATTAAGATTCTAATCTTTGGATCAATTCTCTTATGGCTCTTAGATTGCAGTAGATTTGTCTCTTCTTCTAGTTGTCAGCTCCTCTTATGGGCTTTTTTATTTTTTGCAAAGAGCTTTGATTTCTTTTCATAATAAGATTTTTGGAGAATTTTATATATGCATTCACACTTTGTATAGAATCAATCAATCAAGTAATACAATTCAAAGTTTTTTTTTCTATTTCTACTTTTCTACGTAGTATCAGAGTGAGGTTAGAGTTTCCTTCTTCCAATCTTTTTATTCCTTTCCTTCTTATCGGGATGTTTTATTCTCTTCATTATGTATGATTTTTTTAACTTCCCTTTCGAAGAGTCAACCATCATTAATGGTGTAAGTTAGATTAAGGAAGAATTTTGATAGGAAGTTGCTGAAATTTATGAAAATCTTTAGCTGAAATCTGATTTCAACAATTTAAGAAAACTAATGACAAGAAAATCAAGAATAGAACACACAAGAACACTTTTTTAATTGAAAGTTTAATGAAAGAAAGATAAAATATAAGTGGATCTTCAATTGGAGAGGAAGATTGGGCTCTCCTAAATCTGTAGTCGCTGGCTAGAGCCCAAACACCCTAAGGACAATCTAAATTCAGCAAACAACACATGCCCTTAACCCTAAAAAAATCACCTACTTAAAGCAAACAATAAACTAAAAATACCCAAAATAGCCCTACCCCAATTCCTAAATCTGCCCTCAAATCAGCCCCCTCTCCTGTGGCTCCCGCACTCGTCGTATCAACACTCCCCCTCTCTGGAAAAAAAAAACACACACCTTGTCCTCAATGTGGAAGGATAGAAAATGATTAAAGAACACCTTATCTCTAAGGGGGGCCACCTAGCCAGCCTCGAATCTCGGAGCTCCTCCAGGCTCTGCATTTCCACCAAGTATCCCAGCCCTGCTTCTTGTATCGCCTTGACCATGGTTTTGAGAGAAACCATAGTTTTGGATAGGCTAGGTTCCCCTCTAATAACCACTTTCCTCCCTTAAACCTCGAATTCCATCGCTAGCATCTGGCAATCAATCTTAGTTTTTCCCAACTTGTGCCGTCATTTTATTCTCATGATGACATCAGTGCTCCCTAACTCGAATGAGAGAAAGTCCTCCCTCAACTGGACTCCATGTATGGTTAGAACCACCCCTTACACACTCCTTTACATGTCTCCATCTTCCCAGTGCCCATTATCTCCCCATAACACATTGTGTCCACCAGTTTCACCCCCAATTGGTTTACGACCTGGTTGGCGATAAAGTTGTCTGTAGCCCCTTTATCTATCAACACCACTTCCTCCATGTCTACTATTTCTCCTCTCACTTTCATGGTGTTATTAGGAGTGAATTCCACCACTAAGCTTAAGGATACCACTGCTATGTCTAAATGCAATTTTTCCCCCTCCACCGATGCCTCACTCCCACCTCCCTCAACTTCCTCATCATCATAGAAGGTGAGACTTGAAGGGTTCGGTCCTTACACTTGTGTCACAGTGTATACCTCTCATCACATCTGAAACATAACTCTTTTGCCCGCCTATCACGCACCTTTGTTTCTTTAAGGCGCTTGAAGTTGTCTCCAGAGCGAACTCCAGTTCCCTTCTCCTTCGGTGCTTCCCTTTGAAACGACATTGTTTGGGTTCTTGGTGCTAGGGTTGTAGAGGTATAATAGGTAATACTTGTGTTCACAAGTAAACCTAACCAAAACCAAGTACCACAACAAGGAAAAATTGCTATTCACATCAGTAAAACAGCCAAAAACAGTGGAAAACAGAGGAAAACTGAGAGAAAACTTGTAGGAAAACCACTAGAGCAATTGTATTTCACTAGTAGATTCAAGAAAACAAGCAAATATACAATTTCCTTCAATTCGAGATGAATGAATAACTCTCCAAATCTCCGACAACGCCAAGAGCCCAAACTACAAAACCTAGATCTCAAAAAAACATTCAAATTTAAGAAGATCCCCTAATTCCCACATTACTCCCTAATTAAAGTTAAAGGAAGGATACAAATTCCCTAAACACCCTTCTAATTCAAAAATTCCCTCCAAAAGAATTGTTTAATGCATGCTTGGGCCCACTCCATCTTCCGCCCCTCCCTCTGCTTGGTTCCGCCTGGCATTGGGCCGCCGGGTGTAGAATCGGACCGGTCCAACTGGGATCGGTCAAGGCGTAACATTACTCCCCTCCCAAAAATTCACCTTATCCTCAAGGTGAAAGTACGAGAATGTTGCTTCACCATCTCATAGGGCTCCCAAGTGGCCTCGTAGTCGGGGAGATCCTTCCATTTGATCAACACCTCTTTGTTTCCCTTTTTATCTAACCTTACCCCTTCTAGCTCCACGGATTCCATGATCACCTCCAAATCCTCTATCAATGATGTTGGTAATTCCACACTAGCTGCATGCTCTCCAAGTGCTTTCCTCAGTTGTGACATATGAAACACCGGGTGTATGGTAGCGGAGGAGGGTAACTTTAGACGATACGCCACAGCTTCAATCTTCCCCAAGATCTCATAGGGACCAAAGTATCTCGGGGCCAATTTCTTGTTCATCCTATTAGCCACTTATTTTTGCCTGTAGGACCTTAGATTCAAGTACACCTTCTCCCCTACTTCATATTGTATGTCTCTTCTGTGTGTATTTGCTTGCTTCTTCATGATTTGTTGTGCTCTTCCCAAATATTTCTTCAACTCTTCCAACATAAGGTCTCTTTTCTCTAGGTATTGTTCAACTGAAGAGATAGGTGTACTTCCTCTTCCATAGTGCACTAGGTGTGGGGGGTCCCTCCCATACAACACTTTGAACGAGGACATCTGAGAAGCAGAATGGTACGAGGTGTTGTACCAGTACTCCGCCCATAATAACCATTGAGCCCACTCCCGTGGTGTTTCTGAAGCAAAACACCTCAAACATATCTCCAAGCTCCGATTTACCACTTTTGTCTGTCTATCTGTCTGAAGATGGTAGGCAGTACTTCTCTTGAGGACAGTACCCTGCATTCGGAACAATTCCCTCCAAAATTGACTAAGGAACACTTTGTCTCTATCAAACATAATTGATTCGGGCATCCCGTGTAATCTAACCACTTCCCTGATAAAAGTTGCTGCCACTGATACCGCGGTGTACGGATGTCGTAGGAGGATGAAATGTGCATACTTACTGAGTCGGTCTACCACTACCAAAATGACTGTGAATCCCTCTGAGCGGTGTAGGCCGTCAATGAAATCTATGGACACTTCCTCCCATACTCTGTTTGGAAGTGACAAAAATTGGAGTAACTCTCCTGGTGCCATTGCCATGTATTTATTTTTCTGACACACCTTGCCACCATCTCCTCCACATTCTTATGCATCCCCTTCCAGTAGAGTTCAGCTGCTAACCTTCTGTATGTCTTCTACACTCTTAAATGGCCTCCAACTGCACTGCCATGGAACTCCTGTAACAAGTGGGGAATATGTATGGAAGT